AAGAACATGGCACTCTCATCTTCCTTAACCTTGGAAGTGTATGATGGCAAAGATTTCCAGTCATGGAAAACTCAAATGCAATTTTACTTCATTTGAACTGCACCGATCTGCTTGGCAATGTTGACAAGAGCACTGGCAAAATCACTTACAGATTCTGTCTCCCTCTGTTTATGGCTGTTCAGCTGTAGTTTGAGTTCCAACAATCTTGCTCTGGTTGTTGTACCAAGGATCACACACACAGCATCCTAGTTTTCCTTTGTCATCTTGTTGATGTCAAGGTAGCTTTGATATTTCTTTCCGAGGCCTCATCCCAAGACCCCTAACGCTTTTTTGTTCTTGGTGTCCCACTCCTTTTTCATCCACATCGTCCTCTGGCTTGATGCTGCTCTAGAGCACACTCCAGAGATCCTTTTCCATGGAGTAAAATTGCATCTTGAGTTTTCCATGACTGGAAATAGGTTAAGGAAGATGAGGGTGCCATCTTTCTTTTTCAGAGTGGGACGTGATCCTGCGATAGGAAATCATGAATGTACTCTGGAATGCCAGCCGCTGCTGGCGCTACACCCGGGGCCTGCGGGGCGTCTCTATTATTGAACAGACATGACGGGTCAATTTGACCTAAGAGGGAATCAATGCATAACGAGAATTCCACGAATATTCTCTTACAAGAGGAATCGAACCCTTATCATGGACTCTAGTAAGCGACGCGCTGATGTAGCGGAGTCAGTGCAGGTAATTGGGTTCGGCCGCCCATGGCGATTCTCTTACGGTATCACTGCGGGAGAAGTGATCGATTTCATGGCTCACAAGCTGGACCGGCCAGCCAAGGACATAGCGATCGAGGATACCACTGGATCCTTCATAGTAAGCAGGCAAACTGAGCTGCTCCTCGGGCATAGGTACGTTTTCACACTAGTGCGCAAACCAGATACCGCTCCGAAGCGAACCTTTGCCGTAGGAGGTATTACGGATCCCCAGAAACACTACTACGTACCCCCTGATGTTACTCAGCTTGTGGACAAGCTGAAGCACGGCAAGTATTGTGTTCTATGTGGCGCACGACAAAGCGGGAAGAGCACCATGGCAATGGCTGTGAAGAGGGAGTTATCACTTGATCCAGATATCTGTGTGGTGTATTTGGACAAGGTGTCAGTGGATAAAAGCTGGAGCAGGAACAGGTTCTGGGCTGCGCTTTGCGACCATCTTCATGGAAAATGTGCTGATTTGTTCCCGGCTAGGCTTACAGGCGAAGAATGCACAGATTGGAGCTTCAGGTCGTTGTTTCTTGTGAAGAACCTGCCGATCAAGGTTACACTCATTATAGATGAAGCCGACGCGTTGCTCTCAGCCTCTCCGGATTGCCTTGACGATTTCTTCAGCACTCTCAAAGGGATTAGAGACGATGACGACTACAACTTCAACGGTGTCCTTCTGGTTGGTGTTGAGACTGTCAAGGATCTTCTTGAAGCTCAATACTTGAGGCGGCCTGAAGATGCAGCGGAGCTAAACAGGGTCTATGTACCGAGTAGTGCGCCCAGCCTGTATTCGCCTTTCTCGTACAGTTTCCTTTCGGAGCCAGTGAGGTTCTTAGTAGGCGATGTTGAGAACCTGCTGCAGCAGGCACAAGCCGACCTCCAAGGAGTACAGATTGAGATTGAGCGGATTGCTACGTCGGTCATAGAATTGACAGGCGGTCACAAAGGGATAGTCGGTTCATGCTTGGACTACTTGGTGGACAGGGAGCTGTGGACTAGCAGACAGTGGATTGAGGCAACTGACTCGTTTCATCTTTCGACTTATGTTTTTGGACAGCAAACTTACTCTAAGATTCTGTCCGCTTTCAAGAAGGGTGCAACTGGCCGTGACTTTGATCTGCTCCTGTCGTTCCTTAAAGAAGACAAGCGTCACTGCAATGATCAGATGGTGATACTGGAGCTGCGGAATCTCATTGCTCAAGGTGTATTAATCGCACAGGAGGCAAAACCGGATGGTTATGACGTGCGGATTTCTTCACCAATGCTACGGAGTATTATATTGCGAAGATGTGTTATCACGAGCGGTTCGGTGGACCCTCCTGCACAGGCGTTGCGCGTTGATCCTCTGTGGGTTGTTTTCCAGGCAATTAGAACTTTGGATGGGGAGGCATTGTGCAGGCCAGAGTGTATAAAACGGACAGGGGAGTTATCCAAGTATTCTTACCAATTCATGTTGTTCACCAGGATAAAGGCTGTTTTGACGCAAGCGTACCCCTTGGTTGATGCGAAGCTCGTCCCTAAAGCTAAGATAGCTGCGGAGTATCTTGACAAAAGAGACACGCAGGTAAGCATCTTTGTTTTGTTTTGAGGCTCTCTGATTTCTGAGCTCGGCTGCAGGAGCGGCTTGACATCCTAGTCCGGAACAACGACAACTTTTCCAAGTTTGGCTGTGAGTTGGTTGTCAACGATGATGTGGAAGGTTACGTATCGAAAGCCGAGCGGTATGCCAAGCAGCATTCTGCTCAAGTGTTTGTGATTAATGTCACAATGGAAGACTCGCCAATATTAGTCGTTCCAGAACACGGGTGTGTGGTTTTCCTTTCAGTACAGCTTTTTCCGAGTGGGAACAAGAGCAGAGCTAAAGTAACCATGGTGGAGACATCGGACGTCCGAACGGATTTCGAGTTGGAAATGAAAAATTGGGATGGCAAAATCTCGTTTGACTACCTAGTCTAAAATAGAGCCTCGGTTGAGTTACTTCGGTACTAAGTAAACTTTTGTTTCAAAAACAAAATAAAGAAATTTTGAGTGACAAAGTTCTTTCGTGTCCGGATCTGAGAGAGTTTCTGACAACCGATGCTGCCAATGGGCATGGGGGACGTGCATGGTCGAGTTATACTGGTTTGCAATGAGGCCGCTGAGGCAATTGATGGAGGAGCTGGAGAGGAACGAAGCCGCGGGAGTGGAGTGGAGTCGCAAGGTGAGGACTCGGCCATCAGCTTTGGTTCACGCGGGGCGCTACGAGGTCTATCGATCTAACAGGGATATGTGGCGACCTACCGTTTGGTAAGAATCTCGAGTCTTTACGCGATTAAAATGTACTACTCCGCGCCAATCCTCGACAACCTCTTGTGAGTTCATCTTTTCCTTCTGTTTTTGTGCTTTTGTTCTGATTCTTTTCTGTGTCAATCAAGAGCAACAAAGTAGAAGCTGTCTTAGGTCCTTCGTTTCCTAACTCGATCCAAGGTGAAAGCTCCACCCAAACAAACATGTGCGCCCATGACAAAGAACGTTTCAGCACTTGGCACCGTGGCCCGGACAAGAGTAGAACACATCGGCAACTTCCAACATTCCTTTGCAACGTTTGGGATGGAGAACTGCATAGAGCTTGAGCCCGAAGATCGCCGCGATGATGGTCGACAGCACGGCCCACTGGCCTCCGGTGGCAAGGCTGATGATGATCGAGCCGATGTACAGCGCGCCGAGAACGCCCAACGCGATGAGCAAGATCCCGAGCGCTAGAAAACCGACCACCCCAGCGAGGACGAACGGCCGTCCAATGCCAAACTTGTGGAGGAGTTTCTCGGACTCGAAGCTGCAGCCGACTGCTCCCAGGAAGTCCCAGATCCAAGTAGGACGAAGATCCTTGCGGTGGAGGCCCAAGTTGTAGGTGGACACGGTTCCCAAGCCGCAAGTTGCGATGACCATGAGCCACATGTCGATGCTTAGCAAGGCGTGGACGAGCCTGTAAGTCATTCCCTCTCGCCGGGACTTGGAACCATCTGTAGCTGCCAGCGGCGGAAGCTCAAGGAGGAGAACGGTCGAGGACTTACAGAGAATATTACAATTAGGTGTGGAATTTAAATCCGCGCGGAATAAGCAGGTCGGAGGAGCCCGATATCTGCATCTGAGAGAGCCTAGCATCCACGCATACATTCCCACTTCCATCTTTCAGCAGCTGCATCTTTCAAGCTTGCATACACGCACGGTCCCAAATCCATGGCTGGCATCAAGGCCGCTGCAACGGGACGCTGGACAGCGTTCCGGACAGATACATGATGCTGAATGGAGCTGCCGATGTCTCCCGGTGCGCGGTGCTGCCGATAGTCGATGTGGGGAGCGAGAGCTTCGAGAGGGATATCGTTGACGCTTACACGTTCTACGCAAGTATTCAAAAAGTTTCCTTTACATATTTGCTAAGTTGGTGTTCTTCTGACTTGCAGCTCAATGGAATTCACCCGAGGATGTGATGAGGTGCTCTTCAACTCGCCCAGCGAACACAAGGCGCGGCACTACACCGACGAGATCTTCACTCCCGCCGCTACTGCACCAGCACGATGCCTTCGAAAGAAGAGAAGCTCGAGTGACACGACCACCTCCAGATGTGGCTCAAGGAAGAGTCCCTCGGAGCGCACCCCTGGCCCGAGTTCCCAGCCAGCTACAAGTCAGTATCTCGCTCCGGCTCGCTCCTTGATTATTATGTCACTGCTATTGCCTTTGCAATGCAACAGGGACGTTGGATCCGAGTACGCTAGAAACATCTTCAATGCCGGGAAGAGGATGCTGTTGGCCATGTCTGAGGGACTTGGCCTCCCCACAACCCGTCTTGTGGAAGCATTCGAAGACATGGTCCTTTAGACGAGCTATCCGGCTAAACCCGAGGCAGGCCTTGGGTATGGAAGGCCACACCGGCGTGCACTCGAGGGAATGCTGGTGGTCAACATGGGTGATCAGCTAGAGGTACGAGCAGTCGAAAAGTTTTTGGAATGATCTTAATGTTGTCCTTGCTTGGTTACTGGGAAGTGGAAGAAAACTTGGTGCCTTTGACTGCTCAAGCCACATAGCATGTCCTCCCACAATAGGCAAGAGATTGTGTGACACTGGTAGGACAAGGATAGAGAAGT